CATTCTTTAATTTCGGTTTACAGCTTTTTTTGGTTTATTGGGTTTGGGTTTTAACCCAAACCCATTTGACCGCTGCTAACTCTTCAATGACTTAAACGAAGCCGATGAAAGAAAACGAGAAAGAAATCGAGAGAGAAAACTAGGGCTACAGGACCGCATCTTCAGCTCTCGACCGCCTCGACCGCCTTCAGCAGTCTTCGACCTCTTCGACTGCCTTCGACCACCTTCGAGGCTTCGACCGCATCTTCAGCAGTCTTCGACCTCATCTTCAGCGCCTCTTCGACAGTTCGACGACCACCTTCGACCGCATCTTCGAGTCTTCGACTGCATAAATCGAGAGAGGTATGTCTCTCTCTCCCCCCTCCCTCTCTCTCTCTCTCTCTCTCTCTCTCTCTCTCTCTCTCTCTCTCTCTGTGCGCTCTCTCTCTCTCTCTCTCTCTCTCTCTCTCTCTCTCTCTCTGAGCGCCTCTCTGACTGCCTTCGTCTTCGTTTTTTTTTGTGTTTTTTTTAATGTAAATTAAAAGGGGTTGGGTTTAAGACTGAGAATATGTAAACAGGAATGATCTATGACTTTCGGCTCCTTTTTTTGTGCGTTTTTTTATGTAAATTAAAAGGGGTTTAAAAGGGGTTGGGTTTAAGACCGTGAATATGTAAACAGGAATGGTTTTCTTGTATAACCAAGAATTAATTTTGTTAAGATATTTTGAATTAATTAATATGAAAGATTCAATATGAAAGATTCAATGTCTTAATTTGTTGTAACCTTGTTTAAGATGGAGAACTTGTTGTAACATTGTTTAATTAATATGAAAGATTCAATGTCTTAATTTTTAGTAATCATCCAAATTGTTTCAGGATGCAATCGAGAATCAAATTTCTACAATCGGTTAGTGATCCTAAACATCATATATTATTTACATTTTTATATGTTAAGTCTATAAAATTTATAAAGTATGCTTATATTGAATTTAGGAATGTTTAGATTACATTTAGGACATGATATTATACATATGCGGATCACCCGATATGGTAATCCGATATTTAGTTCATGTCCCCCGATATATCCCCGATTTCCGCTATCCGATATGAATTTCAGCCGTCCGACATGAACCCGACATCCGATATTTAAAACCTTGATATCGGCCGATTTTTCATGTTTGGAAAATCGGCCGATATGCTCTAAAATCGGTTCAGGCTCTTTTCACTTATTGGGTTTGGGTTCAGTGAATCCATTTGACCTTTTATCGGTTCAGGCTCCTTCATCAAATATAGCAGCCTCTTTTCGAACCCGATAGACACGCGATCAAAACAAAAAACAGAAAAAACCCTAGGGCTCACGACTGGTAACCCATCAGCCTCCTCTCTTCATCGTCTTGCTTTCGTGGTCCTTACATCGAAATCGTCGCTGGCTTCTCCTCTCTTCATCGTCTTGCTTTCGTGGTCCTTACATCGAAATCGTCGCTGGCTTCTCCATTTCTCACGCCGCCTTACTCTCTCCTTCCCTGCACCATCGGAAGTCGAAGGTAAGCCTCCATGATCTCTCTCTCTCTCTCTCCATTTCTGGCGCCGCCTTCCTCTCTCTCTCTCTTTTTCCTTTTGAAGAACGCAACTTAGAAACGAAACGAAAAAAGAAAATACAGAAAAATGTGAAGAAAATCGATCGATCTGAGGGGAACAAGGAGAGAGAGAGAGTTGACGTTTGGGTTTTTATGAGGAGATAAGGTTTTTATGAGTTGATGTTTGTAGAAAGTGTTTTTTATTATTATTCTTATTATTATATTATGGGTTTTTTTTCCTTTTGAAGAACTTTGTTAGGCAGCAGAATATATGTAGCCAACGTTTTTATGAGTTGGTGATTGCGATTTTGTCTCAAGCAAAGATTTTAAGAAAAAGTGTTGCACGGTGACAATTAATTAAACTTATTAATATATCGCTAATGACTTTTTTTTCTTTGCATTTTTTTCTGGACTTTTAGTGTATTGTTGAGTCGCTGACTGCTAAGTAAAAGCAATTGTGTCTCAAAATCAGGTAAGCCTTCCCCTTGAATCTTTTCCCTGTCAATAAAATTAATTTTAAGTTAGTAATTGAATTATAAAATTAAAATGTAACAAATTCAAATGCTAATGCATAGGAGATACTTATTAATAGAATCAAATTGTTTCAGGATGCAATCGAGAATCAAATTTCTACAATCGGTTAGTGATCCTAAACATCATATATTATTTACTTTTTTATATGTCTAGTATATAAAATTTATAAAGTATGCTTATATTGAATTTAGGAATGATTAGATTACATTTAGGATATGATATTATACATATGCGCATCACCCGATATGGCAATCCGATATTTAGTCCATGTCCCCCGATATATCCCCGATTTCCGCTATCCGACATGGATTTCAGCCGTCCGATATGAACCCGACATCCGATATTTAAAACCTTGCGTTTGAGGGTATAATTCACCAGAAATCACATAAGGGTAGAGTGATAAAAACCCTCCATGTCTTTTTCCCGGTGCAATTTGAAGGCAAAAGTGGGAAGATTTCATGACATGTTGTTCGGTAAACAGAAAATGGTCACAATAAAGCTTACAAGTCATTTCCATAGGTTATTTGAAGGCAACCAGGGAATATTCCATGGATAGTTTTGCAAATGATTCAATCGATTACAAAGTTTTCTAGTGAAGCAACATGCATAACATTGTTTGTTAGTTCTGGTCCCTTATGGCGAAGAGGAAGACAAATATACTCAACTTTAAAAGTTTCTCTGTAATCCCTGCATGTGCTGACAAAGTCCATCGCTAAATTTTCAGCGATGTCCTAAGCACAATAATTTGCAAGTTCATAACAAATCTCTGAGCTATATGTCATGTGCTACAGTGAAATATCAACATAGGTACATTCATATGTTCTTCAATATACAAAAATATCAAAGGTCAAACTTGAAGATAATGAAACGAAGAGCAAAATCAGTTCTTAAGAAATGCAAAATGTCCGGTACGTACAACTCCCAAGGGATCACGAACCATACATCTTGTCATTTGATGGTAAATAGCTAATAAACTCCTCTAGTTAAGTTTGAAGCTCAATTCACCTTATAATGGCATTGGAGACCTTAACCTGTCACTTAAACTCGCTGATATGATTAATGTTCCTTACACAGTATGAATACAGTATGAAACTAAAGTTCCGCTGCAGAAACATCTTTGAATATCAGCTTTTCCTATTAATAGATCCACCAATTATGAAGTATGAAGAATCAAGTTCCAGGTGATCAATTGGGAAATCAAGAGAAATTACAAAATTGCACCAGCCATGAATAGTTCAAATGTTCAATAAGTTGAAACATATTTCCTCAAAAATAATGTCACAAGACAATTGGTAATAGACTGGACAAATGTCTGGTTGACAAGCCTCAATTGACTGCTTGTAGATCATATACTTTGAGTTATGACATTTATAAGCAGCTGGTTTAACAAAGCAAACTTTATATCCAGGACTTCACTCAGTATAATAAAGGTTTGGCACAACAACTACCCTCATTGTCTCTATAATAAAGCTTAGGCCTTCTTTTGCCTTGTACCCATCAACTCCTAGCTTCCATTTAATATTCCTCAAGTTAGCCAAGAAACTTATGGAGCTGTAACTGTAAGTCTCCTGCAATGAGCATCTCGATCAAAAGAATTAACACCACCACTTAGAGATAGCTAAAGCTTCAAGTGGCAAGCTCTATAAGGGTGTTGATCTACCATAAAGGATTACGCTGGAGGTGTCAACTTCATATTGTCCTCAAAATGTGATTGTATGCAAAGCGGAGTGCCAACAGTGGAGAGAGCCTTCACATAATAGAGGTAGGCTGAAGAAGTTGGGCAGGCTGCTAGGACCATTGATGCCCTCGCATTTAAGTATTGCTTTTGATATCCTTAAATTTATTAAACTTCGTCATGGTTCCTACGGATTCAACAGGTTACAATGAAAAAAGTTGATTTTTCTTAATTGTTCCACACAATCAACTTGTAACTTGAAGAGAAACACTACTCACCTCACTCATGGGCGTGCTTACCTAAGGGGAAAGTAGAATGATCTCCACAAAGATGTACCCCTACTGACATCTAACAAAGTTCCCGTGTTAATCATTATGGGATAAAGAGGAATACCCTTTACCATCCACATTTCTCCAATTTTGATGTGATAAAAACTTATGTCAATCGTGCAAAGCCCTATATTATACTTTATATCCCCATATCTAAGTTTCTCAAGTGGGTTTTCCTAGTTCATGGTTTAAACCCCTCCCTTGTCATCTAAAACTAAGAAAAGTGTCATTTGGGCAACTTTCAATTTCTTATACTACCTATCTCCACATGGTCTTCTATCCCCCAAACTCCTTCGAGCAATTCCCTCATACGGGTGATCTGCATTCCAAGAGAGAGAGAGAGAGAGAGAGAGAGAGAGAGAGAGAGAGAGAGACGAAAAGAACACGCACAAGATAAAATCAACAACACATCATTTACATGCGTCATTTCATCAAACACCTTCCATGCATTTACTTACCCTAGACAAATCGATGACGAGATATAGATACCGAATCAAGCCTTTCTGAATCCTAGCCGAGGGAGCGGATCGAAGGAGGAGGCGGCGGCGATACTGAGCGTGGACGATGGTCTTGGTATCAATGGCGATAACCCCAGACTCGTCCTCTTGAAGAGATTCCCATGATCTGTCATCAGCGTATGCTCGCTCCCAAGCTTGTGTTCCCCGGTTATCGTCTTCTTCCTCTTCCTCATCCTGTTCGTCTCCTCGTCCTTTGTAGTTGATTTGGGTTCTGTTGCGTGGACAGCAGTGCTCATCGTGTTTTTGGGTTTGGGCTGTTGCGACTCAGAAGCGGAAATTGGGGTTATTTGTTGCTTTTTGGTGGAAAAAGTAAATTATCCAATTGCGAAGAGACCAAGATAGTTCTCTTTGTTGGGGATGAACGCCCTGTAGTTCAACTCGTTACTAATACAACCCCTTAGTGAACTTTTTGACTTTTTAAAGCTAAAAAAAATTAGCAATTGAGTTTTTATTCTTTAGCGATAGAGTTATGGGAGTCTATCGGCCTTCTCAAATATTTTAACAAGTTTAAGAGTTAAAAAAAGATTTACTTAGAGGGTTTGTTCACAACAAGTAGAAATAAAGGGGTTCTACTCGCAATAAATATAACTATAAAGTGCCTCTTTTGCAATTGGGTAATACTAGTATTCATCCCGTGCTAAGCACAGTATCTTTAACCATTATTTTTGTGCGCAATCTTAAACATACTTGAAGTCCATATATAATCAGAAAATTTTAGTTTTAGCTGAGTGCACAAATGATATGAGCATTGAGAATATCTGATGTCTTATATCAAATCAATGGTAAATGCATTTTTTTTGTGTGTTCATTTCTCTAAGCTAGACTAAGATCAACAAAATACACAAATAGGCAACTGTAAGACCCCGTAGATTTTGATCATGTTTATGTGCATCAGTAATGGGTTTGAGTGTGCAAATTTCA